ACTGCTTGTTAAGGGCCCAAGTGAGCATATTTGCTATCATTTCGAGGAATTAATAAACAAGTTTTTCTGATAACTTCCAAAATTGGGTTATTTGCTTTATTAAACTGGACCATACTTCTTAGTAATATAGTTTCAGTGGTGTAAGATGCTATACTTTTTGTCATGAAGTCTTTGCCCAGGCCTATGTCCTGAATGATATTGCCTAGGTTTTCTTCTAGGTTTTTTATGGTTTGGGGTTTTACATTTAAGTCTTTAATCCGTCTTAGTTAATTTTTGTATAAGATCCTATACTTTTTGGTCAGAAGCCTTCTGAGATAGGAGTGTGTCTTCAGGGGTAGAATAGTGGCAGATTCTCATACCTTCCCCATTATAGCTGACCCCCTTAGGGTTGTAGTTCATACACTTTCTGTGGTAATCTGATGGTCTTGCAGTGTTAATAGTCCTTTGTCAAAGTGTGTGGTGACTCCTGAAATTTTTGTTACAATAACATCACTCCCCAGCAGGCTTTAATTTTTTGGCTCTACACAACAGAGGCTGCTTACTTTGAAGCATATTTCATTCACGAAAATAATTTCACATTCTGAAGTATTGTATTCTGCATGTACAACCTCTTCTGATAGCATCACAGGCATAAATAATTGCCAATCCGAGTAGCTATATTTGTTTTATTTATTTTTTTGAGACGGAGTCTCGCTGTGTCACCAGGCTGCAGTACAGTGGTGTGATCTCAGCTCACTGCAACATTTGCCTCTCGGGTTCAAGCAATTCTCCTGCCTTGGCCTCCCGAGTAGCTGGGACTACAGGTGCCCGCCACCACGTCCAGCTAATTTTTGTATTTTTAGTAGAGATGGGGTTTCACCATGTTGGCCAGGATGGCCTCTACCTCTTGACCTTGTGATCTGCCCGCCTTGGCCTCCCAAAGTGCTGGGATTACAGGTGTGAGCCACCACGTCTGGCCTCCGAGTAGCTATATTTGTAAAAAGCACTTCAGATTGGAAATGAGTTTATCAACATCATAAATTGATACAAAATGGATTATATGTTCATTACAGATAGCAGGAAAGGGAAAATAGGAATAAAAGTAGAGTCCTAGTCCTGTTTATAATGCACTCTAGAAATATCCTCAAGCCAAGAAACCTACAGGTAGGGAATTAGTACCTAGTTTCTGTATTACCCCCACCCCCAGGCTGCCCACCCAATAAAACAAGAACATTGGAATAATTTTACAGGGGAAAATCCAAGTTTGAAGATAATATGGCATCTGCTGAAATATTTCCAAATGTTAGAAAGCTCAAGTGGAATACCTAGGAATTCATCTAACCAAGGTCAGAGATCTCTACAAGGAGAACTACAAAACACTGCTGAAAGAAATCAGAGACAAGGCCAGGTGCAGTGGCTCATGCCTGGAATCCCACCACTTTGGGAGGCTGAGGTGGGAGAATCACTTGAGCCCAGAAGTTTGAGACCAACCTAGGCAACATAGGAAGATCCTATCTCTACAAAAATAAAAATAAAAAAATTAGCCAGATGTGGTGGCATGAGCCTGTGGTCCCAGCTACTTGGGAGGCTGAGGTGGGAGGATGGCTGTGGTGAGCCGTGATAGTGCCACTGTACTCCAACATGGGCAACAGAGAAAGACCCTGTCTCAAAAACAAACAAACAAACCCAAACAAAAAACAAATTAACAAGCAAATAATCCACTTTAAAATGGGCAAAGGACATGAACAGACACTTTTCAAAAGATGATGTACAATACAAGCAGCCAATAAACATATGAAAAAAATGTTCAACATCACTAATCATCAGAAAAATGCAAATCAAAACCACAGTGAGATAGATCTCACACTGATTAGAATGGCAATGATTACAAAGTCAAAAAAGAACAGATGCTGGTGAGGCTGAGGAAAAAAGGAAATGCTTATACACTCTTGGTGGGAATGCTTATACACTATTGGTGGGAATGCAAACTAGTTCATCCACTGTGGAAAGCATTTGGATGTTTCTCAAAGAACTTAACACAGGACTACCATTCACTCAGCAATCCCACTACTGGGTATATACCAAAGGAAAAGTATTCATTCCATCAAAAAGACATACAGTCATATATTCAAAACAAAGACATGGAATCAACCTAGATGCCCTTCAACAGTGGATTAGATAAAGAAAATGTGGTACATATATACCATGGAATACTACATAGCTACAAAAAAGAATGCAATAATGTCCTTTGTAGCAAAATGGATGGAGCTGGAGGCCCTTTTCCTAAGCAAATTAACATAAGAACAGAAAACCAAATACTGCATGTTTTCACTTATAAGTGGGAGCTAAACACTGAATACACATAGACATAAAGATGCGGAACAACAGACACTGGAGGCTACTAGACGGGAGGGAAACAGGGGGAGTGAGCTGAAAATCAACTATTGCGTACTATGCTTACTACCTGGGTGACCGGATCATTCGTAGACCAAACCTCAGTGTCACACAATATACCCATGTAACAAACCTGTACATGTTCCCCTTAATCTATAATAAAAGTTGAAATTATATAAAAAAGGGAAAGCTCAAGTCGTTTTGAGGTATAGAAACTATTGGGTTAATTTTATTGTGGAATTGGGGAAATTACTGTTTAGTTTGCTTTAGAACAAAGAAAGTGAATGATGTAATAGTTTAGAGGCAGAACGACAGCGACAATTCAAGACCTTATTGTGGGTTCATCTCGGAATCACAGAGACATTGTTTGACTGAGCTTCATATCACAGTAGAACAGAGAAAAATTCCCTCCAAATTATGCTGGGTTTGTGTCTATTAAAAAGAACTGCTTGATGATGTCGACGGAAGACTCCTTTTCCATAGGTACAGCGTTCATGAGAATGTTTTATGAAAAATTCATGTTGACAAACTCTCACACTTAGCTTCCCACAGAGAAAAATTTTGCATATATTTCTAAAACAGTTCAAGTTCTCTCTTTCTCTCCCTCTCTCATGATTTTTCATACTCTCCTACACCCAAAGCTCTTTCTATACAGCCTATAGTCCTCTGTTCTACCAGCTGAGCTATCAAAGGGTGCACCCAAAGCTCTTTCTTTTGGGAGAGTCTCCTTCTTGCATTGCATGGTTCCAAGAAGCACCATTAGCATTGCAATTTATGTGGCAGGCTACCCAAATTTCCACATTCCCATGTCTTGTTAACTCCTCCTATGCTGTTTCATTTTTCTTCCTTTTATTCTTGATACTTCTCTCATCTTTGGTTTTGATGAATAATTCACAAATGCAGTGTAGTGAGAAGCCAGGTGGTGATTGTGGTGGATATTTGTTATTTGACAACATTCCTCTATTCCTCTGTTTCCTATAGGAGACTTCAAATTTCCTCCACTTTCAGGAAAAATATTTTTGGGCAAAACTGACCTACTCCAGGGACAGGTTTTGATAGTCAAATGCATAAATTTATTAGCATATTCCTTTCCCCTGGCCTCAATAATCGATTTAAGGATAGATGTATTACCCAATCAAAGCTAATTAGATGGAAGGAGATTTGCTAGGACTCCTTCAACTTCTGTATGAGCCACTAGAGGTGATTCACTCCTTCCCACTGTATGTAAAAAAGGCACTAGGCAGTGAACAGAATAACAAATCTTTATCTTCATGGAGCATAGATTTTACTGACGGAAGCAGGCTGTAAACAAGATATATTAGATGGTATCTAGAACTAAAGAGATACATAACAAGGAGAAAAACAAGTGCTTTTTTTAAAAGCTGTTTTTGGTAGGGGGTGGTTCAGGGAAGGTCTCATTGACTTTTGCTCATTGACTAAAGACGTGAAGGAATGGGGCAATGTTTGGGGAAAAGCATTCCAGGCAGAGGGAATAACATATGCAAAATTCCTGAGACAGTAGCATGCCTGGAATGTCTGAGGAAGAGCTCTGAGGCCAGAGTGGCTGGAGCCAAGTGAACAAGTGATATGGGGGTCAGAGGTAACAGGAGGAAAGATCTGCACAGGGTTTTGTAGACTATAAGGAAGAATTTTACTCTGAGTGAAATGAGGAGCCATTGGGGGTTTAAAGCAGAGGAGTGACATGATGTGACTTAAATTATAATAGGATACTCTGGCTGATGTGTTGAAAGGGGAAAAGGGTGTGTGATGGTTCATTTTTTTGTGACAACTTGACCGGTTAAGGGATGCTCAGATAGCTGATAAAATGTTTCTGGAAGAGAGTAGCATTTGAATTGGTAGACTAAGTAAAGAAGGTCTGCCCTCACCAATGTGGGCAGATTGACATTGAGGACCTACGTAGAATGAAAAGGCAGAGGAAGGGTAAATTCTCTTGGGAAGGGTGCACCACACTTTTGGCACATGGAGTTGACTGTAGTCAAATTCATAGGAAGTCCACAAAGTTTAAAAAAGAACTTTATTGGCAAAAGTACCAGTACCAACTAAAAGGCAGAGGAAGGACAAATTCTCTTTTGGAGCTGGGACATCTATTTTTCTCTGCCCTTGGACACCAGAGGTGCTGGTTCTTGGGCCTTGGGACTTCAGGACTCACACCAGCAGCTCCCCTGGTTCCCAGGGCTTTTGCCTTGGACTGAGAGCTATACCACTGGCTTCCACAGTACTCAGGCCTTTGGACTCAGACTGAATCACACCACTGGCTTCTCTGGTTCTCTGCTTACACACAGCATATTGTGGGCTCTCTAAGCCTCCATAAGTGCATGAGCCAATTCCCATAACAAATTTCTAGTCATATATCTATATATATCCTATCGGCTCTGTTTCTCTGGGAACCCTGAGTAACATGGTGGAAGCTGGGAGAAGAAGGGATAGTGAATGCTCGGCAATTATGATAGAAGTCTTTATATATTGAAATATTGGTGCCAATTTTTCACTCTTAATAGAATTGGAAACAGAGAGAGATAAAGGGAGGCAAATCTTGAAAGAAATTGTGGGTGCACCACACCTTTTGACATGTGGAGGTGACTATAGTCAAATTCATAGGAAGTTCACAAAGTTTAAAAAAGAACTTTATTGACAAAAGTACCAGTGCCAGCTAAAAGAGATTGACATTCTACAAGGTACAAACAGATTATTTGTCTCTAGTTTTCTACAGGCAGAAAGCAGGTTGAAGAACCCATTTATCCACCAAAAAAGGCATATTCTCTAATGTCCTTTGCAAGTGACTAAGGAAGATGAGGGAAAAAGAATGATTCCCTAGAGTGCAGAACCAAGAGCTATGGAAGATAGACTGGAAGGTCATTCTTAGGGAGTAGAAACAGTGTGTAATCATGAAACATAATTCCCTCCAATAGAGGAACCTGACAAGCATTGTCCAATGAGGTTTCCTAATTGCTATGGACCAGTGGCTGTCACCTGCTTCCATTTCTACCCTTTGTGAATAAGAGTATTTTTTGTGATTATTGTCTCTATTCCATCATTTGTTGTATGTGATAAAAGGATACTTGCTCTTTTAATTCACAGGTCTCTCTATCAAGAAGGACTATATCTGGACCTGATGTAGATCATGAGATCCTGGACTTCAAAGATGTGATGGAACTTTTAGGGGTTTTGGGATAGGAGTGGGTCTATTTTTACATGTGGTAAATATATAATTATAATCAAGAAAGCAGATTGTGGTAGATTAAATTACTGGTCCCAATTCTTCACTACCCTGTAGTAGCATTATGCACACATGAGCCTTTGCTATGGCTGCATGGTGAACAGTGTACTTCCTCATCCTCCTCACTTTGGGCTTCATTAGATGACTTTCTTTTGTATATGGGATGTCAGTGGAAGTGATATGAGCAAAAGCTTGAAATGCTCTTGCATGCTGGGTTTTCCTGCTTGTCTTCTGTGACCAGCACGAAAAAAGCTTGTCCTGGATAACGTCTTTCAGCAGGGGCTCAGAATAGGACATGTGAAGTAGAGGCACTGTGCTGCAGCTGACCCTTGGGTCCACAGCCTGAAGCAGACCTTCCTCTGTCAACCCACAAACGCACAGCTTAGAGCTGACCTGAACCTAAGCTTGCGGTTGTAGTCCAGCCTAGCTCAGCTACATTACCACTGATCTACAGACCCAGGAGAAAAGATAATTGTCTTAAACCACTGACTTTGGAATGGGTTGTGCAGTAGTAGTAAATTAATCACTGACCAATATAAGTTATTGCAATAATTCACAAGGCTATCATGGGAACTAGGACCAAGGTGGTAACAATGGAAGTGGTGAGAAGTAGGCAGATTCTGAGTATCTTTCATAGGTACAGCCCACAGGTTTTGCTGATAGATGGTATATGAGGTGTGAAAGAAAGTGATGCATTAAAGACGAATTCAAGGTTTTTGGCCTGAGCAAATGGAAGAATGGAGCAGCCATTTTTGAATGGAAGAACTTGGGTGTGGGGGAAGTTTCAGATTTGGTGGCAATATCAGGAGTCATTTTTTATATGTTACTTTTGAGATGCCTACAGACATCCAAATAGGGATGTTATGTAGGCAGCTGAATATAGAAGTTCGCAGGTAGAGGAGAGAAAGGTCTTGGAGTAATCATTAAGAAGATTGGATTTTAAAGCTACAAAACTGCAGGAAATCAAGTGAGTGTAGAAATGGGGTCAAAAGACTGAGCCTAAGGGCACATAGCATTTAGTGGTTGGGGAGTTGAAGAGTTACCAGTAAAGGGAATTGAGAAGGAACAGCCAGAGAGACAAGAGGAAAACCAGGTAAGTTCTAATAAAGTGTCATTCATACGTGTTGTTCCCGTAATATCACATCCATTGCTCGCCTTTTCCTTTTCCTCCTTCACTACAAATATCACCACCACTAGATCTGTCTGTGTGTGTGTGTGTGTGTGTGTGTGTATGGAATGCACAGTGTTAGTCACTTTATGTGTGTAACAAGAGAATTTACTGAAAAGGCTAACTCATCTCTTTTTTTTTTCCTGCTATATACTCACTAGGGAAAAATATCCCTTTTTTTCTCTTCTGGTCTCCTCTACAGGTCAGGGAATCTAAGTCTTTGCATAAATTCTGGGTCCTCCCTTGACAATTCTCTAAGCAGGATGGCTCTGTCTGAGAGGGGAAGGTGTTAGAAACTGGTGCTTTCAGTGGAATGGGAGGGACAAACAGTTGGAATCCTGGAGGAGAACTGATTTCTTTTACTCTGTAAGCCTGGAGGAGAGGGGTTAAGGAGGGGAGGAAGGGGGATATTAGAGACTTGTGTTTAGCTAGCATGAAACTCTCTATAGTGGCAGCAAGATTTTGGAAGGAGAAAGGCTGCCTGTATGAGTGGACATTAGAGAATGAATGCCACAACCTTGGAAGCATTGGTGTGAATCAACTGTGTTTGAGTGGCGATCACTTGGGGGAACCTCTGTTGCAGAGTCTGATAAAGGCTCAGTGCCAGGGAAGGGCAGTGAGGCACCTGAAATAAAACTGCTTTGCAGAAAGAACATGTCTAAGCCTAGGACAAGGATCAAAGTATTTGTAGGAGAGTATTTGTTGTGACAACATATACCTGGTTTTAGAAGCTCCTCAGGACTGAGCCATCCTGGCTTGTTTTTGAATTTTGGGGGAAGACTGACTTTGTGACTATAAACCAAGAGAGATGTAATCCTAGAACTAAATCATGGGTCATCCACTGTGGTGCAGGCAGGATTGGAACCAGCCAGAGAATCGCCTTAGTCTGCTGGACTATGCTACAACATTATGGTAGAAGGCAACAGCATTAACTAAATGGTAAGACTCCACTTTCTACTCTTTGTATTGGGAAGAGAACTGCACCCTTTGGTCTAAGACATGAACTCTCAGTTTCTTCAACAATCAAGGGTGGAGAGGCCTCAAAAAGGAGAGATTGAACTTTCTAAAAATAAGGCGCTGGGGATTTGAATGGTTCATTGAAAACATAAAAGAGATAAAGCCTCTGAGTTTGTGAAACAGGCATTACCATTTGTATACTTAAAAACTTGGGAAGTTTTAACTGAAGAAGTCAGCATGATATGATAGCTTTTGCTTTTTCCAATATGATGTTATTAGTCTTGTTCTGTGTGGTTCTGGAGAGCAAAACAATAAAGAATTGTAAATTGCATGAGTGTAAGAACAAATATTCACTATTAATTCTCAGCACATGAATAGTGCTCAATACATTTTCAATAAATGATTGAATACATGTATGAAAAATGAAAGCCAGTGGGTTAAACTTACAAGGAGGCAGGGTTTCTTTTTTTTTTTTTTTTTTTTTTTGAGATGGAGTCTTGCTCTGTCGCCCAGGCTGGAGTGCAGTGGTGCAATCTCGGTTCACTGCAACCTCCACTTCCCAGGTTCAAGCAATTCTCCTGCCTCAGCCTCCCAAGTAGCTGGGATTACAGGTGTGCGCCACCATGCCTGGCAAATTTTTGTATTTTTAGTAGACATGGGGTTTCAACATGTGGGCCAGGCTGAAGGAGGCAGATTTTTGTCCCAGCTTATCTTTCTAAAAATTCCAAAATTAAATAGACTATCATTAAGAAGCAGTGAAATTTTTTATCACTAGGAGTGAAACAGGAGCTAAAGAACATTTTTGGGGGATGTGATAGAGAGGATTTATTCATTTGATAATGGTTAAAACACATAACCTCTGAGATCTCTGTAATCTCAGATGCTTTTGTTCTGTAATTCTAAATCCAAGGGTCTCTATAGATAGGCTTGAGACAAGTGTAAACAAACTCATGATCTCAGAGAAATCTTCAAGTGGCATGTTTCAATGGTATGCTTATTAAACAAATGCTCATGACAGATTTTCACAACAGCAACGAATGTTATTTCACAACATCAAATCTTCCTTCCTCAGGAAAAAATGACATTAACAAGAAGGTTGATGGATTTGGATTATTTTTCATGTGTCCTGAAGGTAAAACCAGTGTCCTCACTTGTTTTCCTCTTTTTCCTCATTTTGAAGACTATCTGTTTTCATTTTCTTTACCTCCTCTCTGGCTACGTGTCCCCGGAAGGCAGCTTGGATTTTGACAGCAGCAACCTCTTCTTTTTCCTTATCTTCCTCAGAAGAGTCCTTCATCGAAAGGAGAAAAAGTAAGAGACTCTTTAAACATGCCGTATTTTTGATGCCATAAAAATAATGCAACAAATTTAATCAATTTAGGGATGCAACTATCTGAGAGTTGTTGCTTCCTGAGGGAATTTCATATATTGTCACATTGTATATGTACCAAATAGCAAATGCCAAAATAGCAGACATTTTGTTCGCTTGAGACACAAAAAGGAACTCGGAAGTTTGAACTTCGACATTGTAGAGAGTGAGTTCTTCTTTCTATGAGGACTAGTCCACAAGAGTCTGGAGTATGAAGAATACAGATAGATATTAAAAGACATATCTTTTAATATGTCTCTGCAACGAAAGATCATTGCCAACTTTCTTTCCCCCAAAATAGTGTCTATTTAAGTTTCCTGAGCAATAACATTTTTTGGGGGGTTTGGGGGGACACGAAAGAATCTTTGAGGCATAGTAAAAATGTTAAGGAGAAAGAATAGTAAATGTTATGTTTCAAAATAATCACAATTATATATAATAAATTAGAATAACTTCTCAATTTCTCAATGATTAGCTAATCATAGTCATACATTTAAAGTGAGGTGCCAAAGAGAAATCCATTTAGTCCAATAATGTCAGTTTTAACATGGTTGGTTGAACTATGGCACATACCCTCTTTTAAAAAAAAATTGGGTATAAATTTTTAGCTCTAAATTTACAGACAGTAAAATGCATGAATCTTCAGTGTACAATTGAATATATAGCTTTTAATATATCTTTTAAAATTATAGAAATGACATGTATACACTTTAAAAACTCAAATGTCACTAGCAGTGATAATTTTCTCCCTCTATCCAAATCCTGCTCCTGGGAGATACCCATTATTATGAGTTGAGTATCTACATCCTTCCAAAATTTCTCTATATGCAAATATATTCATATGGGTGTATATATATCTGCCTTTTTATTTTAAAAATGAGATCATGCTAGTCACAGAGTTCTGCAGCTACTTTGTCCATGTACAATCTATCTTGCTTCTCTTTTTCTGTGCTATTAGTCAGTGTATAACTCTGCTCATTCTTCTTTTATGACATCATTATATTATACTGATGTACTTTTATTTAATATTTACTCAATCTCATATTAATGGACCTTTGGGTTGCTCAAGCCTCCTATCCCCCCATTATAAACAATGAGACAAATCTAGCTCTTAAACTTTTAAATGCAAACAGAATGGTACAAAATTCTTCGAGACGACATCCTAATATAGGCAAACAAATACACTCAAGTTTGAAATCAATGAGATCCCTACTCAAACTCATGAAAACCTGTGTAAGAGCACCTATGAAAGATGTAAGGAAATAAACTCCCTTCTTGCTTGACTTCCTGTTACATCTTAATGTTAATCTTCCTGTTATATCTTAATGTTATTTCAGTACAACCTAATAGTAAATAAATAAAATCCATTTAGTCCAATAATGTCAGTTTTAACATGGTTGGTTGAACTTTGGCACATACCCTCTTTTAAAAAAAATTGGTTATAAGTTTGTAGCTATAAATTTACAGACAGTAAAATGCATGAATCTTCAGAGTACAATTGAATATAATTGAATACAATGGAAATTGAATATAATTGAATATAACAGAAAACAATACAATTGAATAACCTGTACATCTTTTTTTTTTTTTTTTTTTTTGAGACCTGAGTCTCGCTCTGTCCGCCCAGGCTGGAGCGCAGTGGCCTGATCTCAGCACACTGCAAGCCTCAGCCTCCCGGGTTTATGCCATTCTCCTGCCTCAGCCTCCTGAGTAGCTGGGACTACACGGTGCCCGCCACCTCGCCCGGCTAGTTTTTTGTATTTTTTTAGTAGAGACGGGTTTCACCAAGTTAGCCCAGAGGTCTTTGATCTCCTGACCTCGTGATCTGCCCGTCTCGGCCTCCCAAAGTGCTGGGATTACAGGCTGAGCCACCGTGCCCGGCCACCTGTAAATCCTATAAGAAAAGCAATGCATCACTAGGTATGGAAGTAGGGTATTCCTTGAGGGGATATCCATTCTGGCTGCCAGTTCTGGGCAACTACCTGGGACCAAGTAAGAACGTAAAAAGGAACTCAGAAGTTTGAACTTCGACATTGTAGAGAGTGAGTTCTTCTTTCTTATGAGGCCTAGTCCACAAGAGTCTGGAGTATGAAGAATATAGACAATGGTGTACTGGTAAGTGTTTTAACAACTGGCTCTCCAGAAGAAACAAAACCCTGATTTACAGTGTTTGCCATGGTCTTAATATTCTCACTGTTGCTGACTTCAAGTTATTACAGTGACATTACCGAACATAGGCCTTTTGGTATGTCCTTTTTTTTTTTTTTTTTTTTTTTTTAGGAGTCTTGCACTGTTGCCCAGGCTGGAGTGCAGTGGTGTGACCTTGGCTCACTACAACCTCCGCCTCCTGGGTTCACGTCATTCTCCTGCCTCAGCCTCCCAAGTAGCTGGAACTACAGGCGCCCTCCTCCACAGTCGGCTAATTTTTTTGTATTTTTAGTAGAGATGGGGTTTCACCGTGATCTGCCCGCCTTGGCCTCCCAAAGTGCTGGGATTACAGGCGTGAGCCATCGCACCTGGCCTCTGCTATGTCTTGACTGCTTGGATGTAGTACATCAGGCACAAAGGCATTTTTGTAGAGGGTTATGCATGGAAGACAAATAAGCCACATTGTTGTAAAGCCATTATTTTGGCTGTATGTAATTCCCTGTGATTTTTCCTTTTGTTATCTCTGAACATTTGCTATTGTGTAGTGGTGACAGCACCAATTAGTGAAAAATTCCCAAAGTGGAAGATGAATCTGAAGGATCATGACTAGGGCTGTGAGTTCTGTCTGCCCTTCCCCATAGGGAGATTTTTCCATCCATTAACAATCTTGAAAAATAAGATTTAATTTTTAAGGGAAAAATGAGTTTGTGATCATAAGAGGCATGGCTGAAAATGATCTACCAGTTAGTTTATCACTGATGTTAATTATCTGGAAAAGTAAAATCATAATTTTGACAATAAAGATAACAGACATTCATATTTAGAGTTCAATTTTAAATTGGGCAATATCATTCTTTGTAGGAATCCAATAGTACATGAAAAATATTACATACTAAGATGGTGACTGATGTCTCTTCCTCCTTCCCAGATATCTGAGATTCTTCTTGTTTAGGATCACTTTTCTCAGGTGGTTCTTGCTCCTGGACAGGTAGAAGAGAGCCAAATCAGCAATGTTTCCAAAATAACAAAATCTTGTATCAAACTGCTTAGAAGTAATGAAATATTACTTTAAATTACTGAGAAATAGGGGGAATTAAATACTACATATTTATCTTTTAATAAGGAAAATACATGGAAACAAGAAGAAATAATAAAAGCTCTTAAGGGAATATGTGTAAACAAATATTAAAGACCAAATAATTGGCAAAAATGTTTGATCTATTGCTTTTGGAATGTGTCTACCACTGTTTTATGTTAAAAACAAACCACTGTCCTATACTAAAAGTTGGTAAGACGATGTAATGAATCCTGAACAAAGTATAAAAAAGAGGTTCCAATAGTTTCTAAAATAGGAATAAAATAAATGACATTGTCTTCCAGAATGTGACATCAAATTGACTTTTTAGTGACATTTATGGATTAAAACTAGTCAAAGAAGTAACTTTTGCTGTGGAGTTTTGCTTTATGATTTAAATATAAAAGGAGAAACCACCTCTGCCTATTTTGACGTGGCTATTTAAGTCTTCCTCCATTGCTAATTCACACCTATGGAAAGAGCTTCTTTAACCCATAAAACCAAAATTTAAGTATAAGTTAATCAAATAAAGCCTTTAAAATTAAAAAAAGAAACACCCCAAAATTGCTATGTGACGCAAGGATTTTAACATTTTTCAACATTATTCCTTTGATATCGATAAAACATGAATACAATTAAAACATGAGCACAGAGAATCTAGTAAAATGGAAATACACAGAACACACCCATATCTGCAGGCACAAATGGATGGAACTTCACTTTCAAACTCGTGTACTAAGTGACAACTCCTTCTTCAGGAAATTCCCCAAATCTACTGGAGAACACCACCAAAACTTGAACTTTGTTAATTCTTTTCAGTTCTAATATCTGCTGTGCTTTGTGGCTAATAGTACTACCTCAGTTGTCTAGAGCAGTGTTCTCAAATTTTAATGTACCTACGAATTATTCTGGTGATCTCTTAAAAATGTAACTTCTGATTTGTAGACCTGGAGTGGGGCCCAATACTTTGAATTTCTTCTTTTTCTATTTGTACACATTTATGGAGTACATGTAAAATTTTGTTACATGTGTGGATTGGTGATCAAGTCAGGGCTTTTAGGGTGTCAGTCACCCAAATAATGTACATTTTAGCCTTTAACCAATTTCTCATTATTGTCCCTTCTCCCACCGCTCCTCACTCTTCTGAGTCTCCATTATCTACCATTCCACTGTCTATGCCCATTTAAACACATTTTTTTCAGCACCCACTTATGAATGAAAACAAGCACTGCATGTCTTTCTGTGCCTGGCTTGTTTCACTTAAGATAATGGCCTCCTGTTTCATCCACGTTGCTAGAAAAGACATGACTTCATTCTTTATTATGGCTGAATCGTATTCCATTGTGTATATATCCCATATTTTCCTTATTCATTCATCCATTGGACAGACACTTAGGTTGATTCCATATTTTTGCTGTTGTGAATGGTGTTGCAAACAACATAAAAATGAAGGTATCTTTTGATGTATTGATTTATTTTCCTTTGGGTAGATATCTAGCACAGAGATTGCTGGACTGAATGGTCATTCTATTTTTAGTTATCTGTGAAATCTCCATACTGCTTTCGTTAGAGGTTGTACTAATTTACATTCCTGACAACAGTGTATAAGAGTTCTCCTTTCTCTGCATCCTTGCCAGTATCTGTTATTGTCTTTTTCATAATAGTCATTCTGAGTGGGGTAAGATAATATCTTATTGTAGTTTTGATTTGTACTTCTCTGATGATTAGTGATTTTGAGCATTTTTAAATATACCTGTTGGACACTGTATGTCTTCTTCTAAAAAAATCTCTATTCATATCCTTTTCCAAGTACTTTTTCCTCCCTTCTTCCCTCCCTCCCTCCCTCCCTCCTTTCTTTCTTTCTCTCTTTCTCTCTTTCTTTCTTTTTGAGACAGGGCCTCACTCTGTTGCCCAGGCTGGAGTGCACTACAGCCTTGGCCTGTGGGCTCAAGTGGTCCTCTCACCTTAGCCTCCCAAGTAGCTGGGGCCTACAGGTGCACACCACCACATCTGGCTAATTTTTTGAAGAGATGGGTTTTGACATGTTGCGCATGCTAATGTCAAGCTCCCAGGCTCAAGCAATCTTCCTGCCTTGCCTCCCAAAGTGCTGGGATTACAGGCATGAACCACCACTCCCAGCCCTTTGCCCACTTCTTAATGGGATTACTTATTTTTTGTTGTTGTTGAATTGTTGGAATCCCTTGTGTATTTTGGATATTAGTCCCCTGTTGGATGAATAGTTTGCAAATATTTTCTCCCATTCAACAGCTTATGTCTTCACTCTGTTGATTATTTCTTTTACTGTGCAGAAGCTTCTTAGTTTAATTAAGTCCCATTTGTCTATTTTTGTTTTTGTTGCCTGTGCTTTTGTGGTCTTAGTCATACATTCTTTGCCTAGGCCAATATCCAGAAAAGTTTCCCCTAGGTTTTCTTCTAGTATTTTTATAGTTTTAGGTCTTATGTTTAAGTCTTTAATCCATGATGAGTTGATTTTTGTGTACAATGGGAGATAGGGGTCCAGTTTCATTTTTCTACATATGGCTCTCCAATTTTGCCAGCACTATTTATTGAAGAGGATGATATCCTTTCCACAATATATGTTCTTATCAGCTTTGCTAAAGATCAGTTGGCTATATGTACATGGCTTTATTTCTGGCTCCTCTCCTCTATTCCGTTGATCTATGTATCTGTTTTTATACCAGTTCTGTGCTGTTTTGGTTACTATAGCCTTGTATTAGGTTGGTGCAAAAGTAATTGGGTCTTTTCCACTGAAAGTAATAGCAAAAATGGCAATTACTTTTGCACCAACCTATAATATCATTTGAAGTCAGGTAATGTGATGTTTCCAGTTTTGTTCTTCCTGTTCAGGATTGCTTTGGCTATTTGGACTCTTTTTTGGTTCCATATGAATTTTAGGATTGTTTTTCCCAATTCTGTGAAAAGTGAGTTGGTACTTTGATAGGGATAGCAATGAATCTGTAGATTGTTTTGAGAAGTATCGTCATTTTAAAGTTATTAATTCTTCTGATCCATGAGCCTGTGATGTTTTTCCATTTGTTTGTGTCATCTTCAATTGGTTTCATCAGTGTTCTGTAGTTTTTCTTGTACAGTTTTTTCACCTCCTTGGTTACATTTACTCCTATGTGTTTTTTAAAGGTATTATAAATGGAATTGCCTTCTTGATTCCTTTCTCAGTTAGACTGTTATTAGTGTATGTAAATGCTACTGATTTTTGTGCATTGATTTTGTATCCTGTAACTTTATTGAATTCATTTAACAAATCTAAGAGTTTTATTGTGGAGTCTTTAGATTTTTCTAGATATAAGATTATATTGGGATTCAGGCATGGTGGCTCATGTCTGTAATCCCGGCACTTTGGGAGGCCAAGGCAGGATGATTGCTTGAGGCCAGGAGTTTGAGACCTGCCTGAATATAGCAAAAGCCCAAAAGACAAAAACATTACAAAAGACAAAACATTATTCAGTGTGGTGGCACATGTTTGTAGTCCTAGCAAATTGGGAGGCTAAGATGGGAGGATCCCTTGAGCCCAGGAGGCCAAGGCTACAGTGAGCTATAATTACACCATGGCACTCCAGCCTGGATGACAGAATGAGACCCCATCTCCGAATATATATACATATATATATCAGCAAACAGAGATATGTGACTTCCTCTTTTCCAGTATGGATGCTTTTTATTTCTTTCCCTTACCTCATTGCTCTGGCTAGGACTTCCAGTACTATGTTGAATAGGAAGGGTGAAAATGGGCATCCTTGTCTTGTTCCTGTTCTTTGGGGGATTGCTTTCAACTTTTTCCCATTCGGTATAATATTAGCTGTGGGATTTTTGTATATGGCATTTATTGTTTTGAGGTATGTTCCTTCTCTGCCTAGTTTGTTGAGGTTTTTTATCATGAAGGGATGTCGGATTTTATGAAATGTTTTTTCTGCATATGGTTTTTGTCTTTCATTTTGTTGATGTGATGTATCACATTTATTGATTTGCATATGTTGAACCATCCTTGCATCCCTGGTTTAAAACTGATTTTATCATGGTGTATTACCTTTTTGATGTGCTGTTGGATTCTGTTTGCTAGTATTCTGTTGAAGATTTTTGAATCTATGTTCATCAGGAATATTTGTCTGTAGTTTTCTGTTTTTGTTGGGTCCTTGTCTCGTTTTGGTATTAGGGTGATACTGGCTTCATAGAATGAGTTAGGAAGAATCCGTTCTTCTCAATTTTTTGGAATAGTTTCAGGAGGCTTGGTATTAGTTTTCCTTTGTATGCACAACTGGGTAGAATTTGGCTGTGAATCCATCCAGTCCCAGGCTTTTTTTTTTGGTGGTGTTGGGGTGGGGGAGATTTTTATTACTGAATCAATCTTGCTACTTGTTATTAGTCTGTTCAGGTTTTCTATTTCTTCCTGGTTCAATCTTGGTAGGTTGTATATTTCCAGGAAATTATCTATTTCCTCTACGTTTTCTAGTTTGTGAGTGTATAATTGTTCATAATGGTCTCTGATGACCATTTGTATTTCTGTGCTATCAGTTGTAATATCTTCTTTTTCATTTCTGATTTTGTTTATTTGGGTCTTCTCTCTTCTTGGTTAGTCTAGCTAGCCATTTATCAATTTTATTTATCTTTTCAATGAACCAAGTTTTTGTTTTGTTAATCCTTTGTATTGTTATTTTAGTCTCTATTTAATTTAGTTTTGCTCTGATCTTTGTTCTCTCTTCTGCTACTGTTTGGTTTGTTCTTGCTTTTCAAGTTGCTTGAGGTTCATCCTTTGATTATTAATTTGTAATCTTTCTGCATTTTTGATGTAGGCATTTATTGCTATCAACTTCTCTCTTAGCACTACTTTTTCTGTATACCATAGGTTTGGATATGTTGTGTTTCCAGTTT